TTACGTTTAACAGTACAAAATATCTTTTTAAAAGAGAGATTAATTTAAAAATTTGTAAATCTTTATGCACTGCATAAAATCGATGAGACTGAAACGCTGTTTGCAATTACTAACTTTTTAACGTTTAACTTTTTTATCATTTTTAACATTACGTCAAAGGTTTGTATTTAATTTGACACCACATGTACAGATGCGTGCAACTAATTAACAACGAAATTCAAAACGATATTGCTTGCATATTATTTTTATTTATTTATTTTTAATAATTTTCATTTAAAATATAATTCAATCTATATCAGAAACCACAATAACAAAAGTTGCAAAGCTTGCACAAATTGCAAAAAAATTAATCAAACTTCAAAAATTGTCATCGAAATTTCAAAATTTTTAATTAGAATATTTAGAAAATTTTCGGGTATGCAGTTTTGTAGCCCATTCAATTTTAGTATAATAAAGTGCAAGTTTCAAGTCGCTAAAAATTACCGTTGATTTTTTAGAATTTTTTTTGTCGAGGGTGTTGCGGATTTTTTTCCATGTAAAAAAATATTTTGATCATGTGTTATATGGAACAGGTGAATTTTTTCTGTAATTTTTAAGGGGTGAAAAATTAATTATGTCATAACTTTTGACGCACACCATATACTGCTTTGAAATTTTATATGCTATTAGTACTTGTGTGTACACTTCATATGGTAGCTAAAGTGTACTTTAAAAAATAACTAAATGGCAAGTAACAAAAACGAGGATGGTTCCGTGCGCAGAAGTGGAACACTTTTGACTGTCATTCACCTGGGAGTGGCCAGAAGCGATTCTTGTGCGTACGGTTCAAATCGTAGCTCACAACGTCCGGATATTTATATCCACGTATCCTCCGGGTAGCAACCAAACACTCGTTTGGGAGCGAGCTAAAGTGAGAAGGCGTAAAACTTCGCGTGCGCTGGGTTTGGGTCCCGCCACGTTAAAACCCCGCCCAATGAAAAAAATCTAAAAAGCCTCGGATGAGACCCCCTTTTTCTGATGACGACCACGGCAAACGTATAAAGGACTATGATTTAAAGGTATCCAGGTGCATACCCGGACCCTTAATGGGGAAGGTGCCTCTGCCCGGCTGGTTGATGTCCACGGGAAGACAAAGGCTGACATCACCGCCATCCAAGAAATGCGATGGACGGGGCAAGGAAAAATAAGCGTGAAGCCTTGCGACGTCTACTACAGTTGCCACGGAAAGGAGCGCAAATTCGGTGTTGGATTTGTGGTAGGAGGGAGACTCCGTCGCCGAGTACTGGCGTTCACCCCGGTGGACGAATGTCTAGCCACAATCCGCATCAAAGCTAGATTCTTCAACATCTCGCTCATCTGCGCCCATGCCCCGACGGAAGAGAAGGATGAGGCGTCCAAGGATCTCTTCTATGAGCGCTTGGAACGTACATATGAGCGCTGCCCCCGACACGATGTCAAAATCGTGCTTGGCGATTTTAATGCCAAGGTGGGCAAGGAAGGGATCTTTGGCGCCACTGTCGGAAAATTCAGCCTCCACGACGAAACGTCCGATAACGGACTGAGGCTGATCGACTTCGCCGGGGCCCGAAATATGGTAATGGACTTTACTTCTCAATTGCCTACTCAGCCCAAAGTAGCACT